AGCTATCTACGACTTTCAAGAATGCGTAGCGAAATATAATTCAGTTGGATTCGGAGGAGGAAATCCCGATCTCGGAGGAATAGGTGTACGTTATTCATAACTCCGGGTTTCCCTCAGAAAGCTTTGCTAAGCCAATTCGCAGGCATTTGTATCCATGACAATCCTGTGTATTGCTGGTACCGTCGGATGTTGGACAGTGCTTGTAATCTCCTTCATACTTAATCACCGGCGATATAAAATACACCTAAAAAAAGTCACCCGGGCCGGCTATTAGATAGCATTCTACACCGGGTCAACAATTCTCTTAGAACATTACTCAGCACCATTCTCGACTCGGCACTATTCCTTTCACTCGTCCTACACATAGCTTGTTGGGCGTTACTCTTCGAAAGCGAACGCAGCTCTGGCACAGAGCGTACTGTTACCGGCGCCAGACTTCCCGGAGTATCCATTTACAACTCCGCTTTACTGCAGTATTCAATGACTATCACAATATGCCCTTGTCTTTCAATCATCAGCACTCCATATCTTCGGAAGAAGATCAGAAGGCTTGGCTCAAGGGTGTTCATTACCATAGTAGCTCTTTTGTTGAGCGGCATCCAAGTCCATCGGCATACTTCTAAATTTAAAGGCGATATCAAGTTTATGACTGATATGTATAACATCATCGGGGATGAACTTTATTTTCAGGTCTAGAAGGCCTATGGATGCATGGGAGTGTTTGTATATGACATTATATCGTCCCATGGAACTTGGGGAGATGCAAATCTGGTGCTTATTTTATATGCAATACGTTTATGGGCCGTATTGGTAGCATTTGTAAGGCTTGATGAACGTCCATTGCGCTGGATATTCTCGGTCTTACGTATTATAGCATCTACCAGCTTCGGTCGAAGAACTTTAGAACTTTCTTGCATGACAATACCCACGGAAAAACCCCACTATGCCTCGGAAAGAGTCGGTTTAAAAGTGCAATCATGCAGAACCACGTACACCAAATATCTTCTCCAACCACTTATTACAATTCAAAGAATTATAAACTTCTTAGTCTACATATCGTTACAGTCATTCCCGATATTCTTTTTATGGAAGCTATGCTTCATGCGGCAAAATTTTCGCTCCGTCATACAGCCACCTACACCAGCCAGCACGCTCTATCCCCCGTTTGAAAACTTCACCAAACTTCTTGAGTTAGAATCAGAAAGTTGGGACAGCGATCACTGGGGGTTCGGCCAACTTACAGCACTATCTCTCTGGGTTCCGGCATTACTGGATCTGTTTTGCATCTTGCTATGTAATCACACCATAACCAATCCTGGATTTGAACATGACAACCAGCTAATTTTGTAAGAAGTTGGCGCAGAAAGTGGACTGACGAGCAAAATACCACATCCATGGAAAGCGGTTGAGGAACTTAGATTTTGCCTAGCCTTAGTGGACCAGGAAGAGTCACAATACGCGTCGACATCTCAACTGATAGAAACTACACCCGGGACTTGCTGCAACTGCCAAAGAGTAGTCCCACCTCGGATACAGCGTGCGCGGTCGTTTTCTGTTTCGATAAATTTTCCTACACGTTAAGTATCAATCCATCTCGCTTTCAATGGCTTGTATGATGTCAATATCAAATTGAGTTTCTCGCTAGTTGCCATTACTCGAACTGCCGCTGTAGAGTGCGTTGATCATTGCGCTCAGATGCGCTCAAACTACCGTATCGACTCGACTAACCCAATTGTGGTACAGGAGAGCTTCAGATCTCTGGCCAGTTAAATTTCTGGAGCCGGTACAGGCTCCAGAGACATGAGCTGTTGTTGAAAAGCTGTGATGCGCGGAATCGGGTTCCTGCACAGACATGCATAAATATGCATGCATATATGCGCAAACTGTGCAAACCCTATGCGGATGCTGAGTGAACGATGCCCTAGGGCTCGCGACCCTTAAGGGCTCAAAACCCCATGAGGGTTCTCACCCTGAAGGCAGTCCCAAGACCCAAAGCGGTCGCCGCACGATCACATGCCCGCACACCGCGCCCAATCAGCGCTAGCGGCGGCCATAACTAGAAGCGTTCGGCCGCTCTTTCATGATAGATAATCACTCAATATATCGCTGATTTGAGGCTTTTCAGACGTCCTTTCGCACATCCTTTCGTTGCTTTTTTGACAGCTGTAAAGAACATACTTATCCTCACATTAGGTCACTCGCATGGCTTATGGGCTGCTTGTAATTACATCGGTCGATTGTTTTTGAAACATTTCGAAAGTGGAATTCCGCAACTCCTACATAGTAGAAGAGTGGATTCACATAATTTCACCAATCGTCTGGTTCGTGAAAGAGCCTCTCCAAGAAAGCCTCTCCAAAGTCTTATCTGACACCGACAGATGCGGTTGGAGTGGTTTCAAACTCTAAACATACTCGCTTCGTCGCTCATGCATGCTGCAGAGTGTAGCGGACCCTTTAACAAAATCAAAACGCACAACTGCCAACGTAGCGCTACAACTACTTTCCGTCTGAAACCACCGGGGCTAGTGTAAACTTGCAGCTCCGAAAGCAATGATCTCTCGTACGGCTTGTTTGCTGTACTCTGTGCCTACAGAAGCCCACAGTACCGCAGTACTGCCGTATGATCAATATACTTAAGATGAATCGCAGTTGGTTTCTTGGAATACCAAGAGGGATACACAACCCAGCATACACGGCAAGCGTTTCGCAACAGCATCGGCTACCTTCGGTCACAACGCACAAAGATTATGATGTTACCGAACGTATGAACGAGCTGTTGCATGGTACAGACAGGGAACAGGCCATTTACAACCTGCAGCGATGTGTTGTGCAACACAATTCCACTGAGTTTGGAGGAGGAAGTCCTGACCTTGGAGGAATAGGTGTATGTTTTTCGTTCTCAGCTAGCAGAAGAACTCACTGACGTTTTTTACAGGTACTTCTTTCTTTAACGACTTTATGCATTGCTTCTACCGTCGGATGCTGGGTGGTGATTGCTCTATCTGTCCTATGCGATTACAGCAAGTCATTCAAATCAAAATTAAAAGGAAAGGGACCCGAGTGGATAGTGAATAGGATTCTACTTCGTATTAACGATGCTTGCACGACCTCATTGAGTGAAGTACTCGACACTGTCTTGTTTCTTTCCGTCACAGTACTTATTGCATCCACGATGTGGTGGTTCCGTGCCAACACCACTAATGACACAGTCAGCGGCTCAAACGACGCCGGAAGATTTCTCTATAACGGCATTCTGATGGTGTACACCATGATCATCACAATATGCCCATGCTTGGCCATCATTCACACCCCATACCTCTGGAAGAATGTCAGGCGACGCAAATTCCGCTTAACGGTTATAACTTCTACCGTTGTGATGGCCAGGATAATATTTGTCGACTGTTACAAGATCTTTCACACGCTTTCGGTTGACATCGATCCTAAAGTTGAGGATTGGATCACCTGGCCAGTTATCAACGACCAACTAGGATGTTCGGGAGCCTTTCTATTCGATCTCCTATCGCTCGAGAGAGAGTCCGCAATGCTGCTTGCATCATGGATAATGTGCGCAGGAGCATTGGCTATAACGATTTTCATTCAGTGGGATGAGAACTATTTCAACTTGATAAAGACTATGAGAAAATCTAGTAATGTTTTTGTTTACATCTCGAGGTCGATTCTGGGTAGGGAATCTCTTAGGGCTTCTGGTGCTGCCATCTCTGAAGCAGATAATACAGAATCTCGACGACCCTCACGCACAGTCAACCCTTCTGTTTCTCATAGTGAGGGTACCGGACGGCCTGGGGAAAATCTAAATTCCCTCTCGCCAACAGCCGATTTGGAATCTCAGCCACCAATTCCCGATGTCGGGAGCCGTGGGTCAAATCGGGGGTCTGAAAACATCGCCTCAGAAACACGCAATATCGAAGCCCAACCATCCACTCATAAAGATTATTCAATCTTCAATATTCTATGCCAGATTCTGTATGGATTTATCTACATCGCCATCCAAGCACTACCGGTTTACTACCTCTGGAGGATTCGCTGGATACGTGCACACTTTCGGGCCATGATGCAACCCCCGCATGTTCCGGGCTCCGTTTACCCACCTTCCGAAGACCTTGAAAACGTTCTTACCATCGAATCAAAAGATTGGGATAGTGATGAGTGGAGTTTCCGACAAATTCTTACCTTGTCTCTCTGGTGTCCGGCGCTGCTAGAGATACTGTACATCATGATATGTATGCAAATTTGCTTCTTTGTACCCATTGAACGACCATGCTGATGTTCGAGGCAGCCGGACCAAAAGAGGGACTCACGGGCAAATTGCCTTTTCCGTGGCAAGCACTAAAGCCAGACGAACATGAAGCGACACCGGGATCCAGCGCGACATCAAACTCTGTCGCTACAACCGGGCCCGGCGTCTGCGCCCATTGTCAACACTGCACGCAGAATCGACTCATGGACATACCTGTTCCCCCAGACGCTTTTTCCAGCGGGCTCTAACTAGCCCGCATTCCGATGGATTTCATGGCGTGGCTGTCAATGGTCATTAAAACTTCATGAAATCCTCTTCGTTCCCTATGCTTTCTTTTCTTTCTTCCGACTTACACTTCGCTTAAAGTTTCCCTACACATCGATAATTCTACTCTGCCTCTCGGCACGCACCTCGTTTTCTTTCATCGGATAAATGTTCCTTAAAACACCAAAAATGACTTTTTTTCTATATTTGTTGTATCTACAAGATCAATTCATTCCGCGTATGGCTTCTTCATTAGCCACCTTTTTGCTCCTTTTCCGTTTTCCCCGAGCCTTTCCCGTCGTTGATAGTTTGATAATGCCTTCCGTGAACTCAAACGCCCTCCTCCTCTTCGCTCTCTCTATCCATCACTCTAGCACGCGTCGCCTGTTATTATTATTCCCCATTACTTATTGTACCTCTTGTCGATCAACAACTTTTATGTTTGATATTTTGTAGATTTGGTCACATGCTATCAACCGGTCTATTAGCTCAGTTGGTTAGAGCGTGGTGCTAATACGAGTTAACGCCAAGGTCACAGGTTCGACCCCTGTATGGATCATTTTTGCCGTTTTGTCTAGAAGGAAATACGCTGTTACAGGATAGTTACTCCGGTGTGTGTGAGATCGTCCTTGTCGACTCTATGTTTTAGCGGAACCTATCATGTAGAAACAAACACCAGAGCATCCTATATCCAGATCGACCTCCAGCTAAATTACTTTACGCCAAGTATCAAAGGACTTAATACCATTAAAGCTCTTGCTAACGCCCAGGATATATGTGCTGATGAATTTGAACCACATCGCGGAGTTACAAGCAGCACTCAATTATTTTAAGCACCTCTATTAGAATTAAAAAACGCTCTTAAAGTGAAGCTAAGCAGAAAACTAATCCACCTACCCACGGCAATTGTGTTGGCTGCCATCGCATTGCTCAAAATCTGTTTGATTCCCCAAGACATAACAAAACACTAACACATCGACGGAAGGAAGTTCATTACCTCATAATGCGAGTTAGGCTACCAGTATCTAGATGTCACTTGTGGAGAAGACCGATGTCCAACGAAGGCTATTTTGCTAAATTATATTGTGTAAGGTTTGTACTTGGACATCATCCTCGGTAGTATAGTGGTTAGTATTTCCGCCTGTCACTATTGATAGTTCGCGGGAGACCGGGGTTCAATTCCCCGCCGAGGAGTTTCTTTTTGCCGCTGGCTTCGTTTTTCGAAAGCTACTCATGATCAGCACGCAACACACACCAGACCCGAAATTCGACCACATTTGTAACACGTATGACTAATAGAAAATCCCTATTCGATATGCGAACGATTAAAGTTAGTGAGGTGGCTGCAGATCATTCTCTTAAGCCGTGTTGACTGAGTTGTCTGCTTTGGCTCGGTCGATCACTAAGGATTTGACACAAGCTAACTGCATTAGCTTGTGTCAATCAGGGCGAGCAACATCTGCTCGACGACGGCAGGTTGTATTATGCCCCTGACCCATTGGTAGAAGTCATCGGATGTTGGACATCTCTTTGAGTCATGACAGCCGATAAAAACTGCTTTCAACCTCGAGGTAATGCGTCTATCCTATGCATGCAGATTTTGAATGAGACTAGCTAAACTTATACCAAATGGTTAACGAACAACTGATTCTTTTAGTCACTGGACATTTGTATCGTAAAAGCACAATGCAAAAGTGTGATTGTTCTTCTCGATGTGTCGTTGAAGGCGGCCCAAGCGTGTTGACGTGAGCATGAGAAAAGCGGTTTGCTTACAAGCTTCAAATCCTACAAGTCTCGGGATAACTTTTATCTCGAGTCTACGCGATGTCGATCCATTCTTGCAGTACATTGGACACAGATCGTTTCTCATCCATGATGCGATCAAGTACCACAGACCGCATATTCGACTGGACATATGGAACCGATACAGAGAAGGCTTTCTACAGATTCCAAGAATGTATAACCAAACATAATGACACTGGGTTTGGTGGGGGAAATCCTGATCTCGGAGGAATAGGCGTATGATTCACCCCATCTCAGTCTCTGATAACCAGTTCTAACAAGTTTTACAGGTGCTGATCTCATCAACAATTCTATGTTTGACTTGCACAGTTGGATGTTGGACGGTCATCGCGTTGTTCTTTCACATTTTGAAATGAGTCCTACAAATCTCTACGAAAAGAAAATCCATGGCTCGACAAGATACTTCGTCGCATTAATGTCGCATTCATGACCGCGTAAGGCGCTGTACTCGACTCAGTATTGTTTCTTTCACTCACGGTACATATTGCGGCAATGATTTGGAGACACAGCACCGATATGGAAATAGTGGAAGCTTTGTCCGACGCAGAGGACTTAGGAGGCTTCGTCTACAACGTAACCCTACTTCTCTATACGATGGTCATTACAACATGCCCTTGTTTATCGGTTATTAACACCCATTACCTTTGGAAGAATGCTAGAAGGCGTGGATTCCGTCTTTTTGCCATTACCGCAATTGTCTGTATGGGTGGAATTTTGATTGTTGAGTTCTTCCAAGAGTCTCAGATGGGATTCAGAGAAGTTACTTACGAGGAGTTCTGGGAGGAATATGGATGCGTTCCGGCATTCCTTCTTTACATCATACCATTTGGGATCGAGTCAAAACTCATATTTTCAACCTGGGTATTATGTGCTTGCGCACTGTTCATGACCGTTATCCTTCAATGGGACATGAACTGCGCGGCATTTATGGACTTTTTCAGGCAGACCCGATTTTAAGCAAGTCTTTTACACTTCTTCCACCTAATACCGTCCACCGATCTGCTTTCAAAGACCGAGGCACAACCCACAGCCGAGCAACCCGAGGCGCAGCCTGCGCCCCCGAAGTCGATAAAATCGTACATCACAAGTATATTCGTGATACTGTTCAAGATCATTTACGGTATTGTTTACATCACCATTCAGGCATTGCCTCTTTATCACCTCTGGAGAATTCGTTGGCTCCGTCGGCACGTTCGGTCAATAATTCAGCCCCCAACCCCCGAGACTACTCTATATGCTCCTTTTGCAAACTACACCAAAGTACTTGCGGCAGAGGCAAGAACTGGGACAATGACGACTGGAGCTTTGGACAAATCTTGACGTTATCTCTCTGGTTTCCGGCGTTGTTAGAGATGCTGTATATCTTGATAGGTAATAACCCTTGACCCCGATCTACCAGTAGAAGACTAATTATTAACCTTTATGGCTGGTCAAAGGCGTGGTCTTAAGGGTAGACTGCCTTTCCCGTGGACTGTGGTCAACGAAGAAACAGAAATAACGGATTCGGCAGTTCAAGTTCCTTCGACAGATGAGAAGGGACCCATACCCGAGAAAAAGCCTACGCCTACCATGACGGAGTTGGAGGGATAATCTTCTGGGTTAAATTGATGATTGAGATGAGGAGACGATGTTTGGATGGACTGAAGCCCAGCTTCCAAGTGCGAGTACTTGTCTTAAGAACGCGTGATCCATGTACTGTACTATTTAGTTGTTAATGTATTGTAAAATTTTAGTCCCAGCGGCACATAAATCGTAAAACCATCACGATCATTCCATTGTGCCCTAAATCCGATGTCAGCGTTCAATTCCTCATTTCCAAGTCCGGGGTCTTAAGCGAGTTCCCGACTCACATTTGGTCACTCGTTTTCGGTGTCATGACAGGTCTTATTTTGACTTTCATACCGGCCAATCTATTTCCCACGTTCCTCTTGCAGCTGAATTATTCCAATTATGACAGATTTTAAGCCTGTCAATGCGACGGATCGTCTCCATGTGTGTTGCCGAGATTGTAAGCGAGTGCCGCGCGTGTATGGCGCTTTTCGCTTGGGTCGCGTGGAAGGAACGAGCTGTAAGCCACACGATACCATTCAGCTATATATCTTTGATATGTATCTAATTTAAGAACCATAGGGTATACTTATTTAGGTAGGATTAATCTAGGACTATACTGCAAGTGATAGGTTAGAGCCAGAAATGAAGTTGTGAAGCGTGGGCTGAGGTCAATCAGAAGTTTCACTGTGGATCAATTCTCGGAGAAATTTTTCTCGGATTCCAGATATTTCCATCATGTTCTTGAACCTAAAAATACTATGGCCATGGTTTCAGAATCTGCAGTGTATGAACCATGTGATACGTTTCATTTCTGTGTCGCAGTCCTGCCGTAGCTAACGTTCTAGGGTAGACTGGATCCACAGCGATTGAAAATTCATTTTTTATATAGCTCCCCAGATTCCAGAAGTGAATAGAAAAACAACAGGAGAGAGCGGTAGACCTCTTCTTCAGTTCCACTTCAGCTTCACCGCAGTTTCGTTACGGCCCCGCTTCGGCCCATCGCCACTCTCTAGGCATCCATCCCGAGACCAAATGGCATGGTTAACAGGCTATCAAAGCTCAAGGCAACAAGCTCACCTGATGCATGCAAGCCTTAGTCCGATTCGACGAAAGGTGGTTAAAGCGCCACAAAGGCGTGCATAAACAAAAATACCTCTCTTCAACCATCCAGAATCGATCCAACTCAAACGCCGATACGATACGCGTGACGACTATTACTACAACAGCTCCCCTCTCTCTCAAGTTTATACACAAAACCAGACCATTTAGTGGAATTACTCGGAAAAGAGTACAACGTAACTGCTGCCATCTACGATTGGCAAGTATGCATGGTGACACTTCGTGAAGCCGAATTTGGAGGAAGAAATCCAGACCTAAGAGGAATTGGTGTACGTTGCTGCATCCTTGAGCTAATTGCAATAACCATATCTAATAACTCTAATAGGTCCTGTGGCCTCTAACTGTTCTAGTGTGCACCACTACCTTCGGATGCTGGGTAGTGATCTTGATATACCACATAGAACAGCATGAATGGTATCGCAAACTCAAAGCCAAAAAGCCGGACAACTGGCGAGTTGCTCTTGTATTAGCATTCAAAGACGCATTTACGACAGCGTTAACCTCCATTCTCGACTTGGTACTCTTTCTTTAGCTCACGGTCCATGTTGCGGCGATGATTTGGTATTTCAGCAAAAACTCGGCGGCAGCGAATACGATAAGCGGTGCGAGTGTACTCGGAGAGTTTATCTACAGTGGATTCTTGTTGTTGTATACATCAATCATTACGACATGCCCTTGCTTGGATATCCTCAACACGCCTTACCATTGGAGGAAAATCAGACGGCGCGGCCTCCGATTGATTATAACTCTTGCAATAGTTGTTATGGGCGGGGTAATACAGTTACCGACAATGCCAAAACCGTCAACGAGATCCGACAAGATCCTAGTTACCCTCGTCACGAGGAATGTGGTTATATGGCTCGGTTTCTCTATAATATTGTACTGCCTCAAATTGAATCGGTGTGGCTCATCTCAGCTTGGTATTACTGCGCCAATGTTCTGGGGGTGACTTTCACTCTCCATGGTTAAGACTTCATAGTTTTTCTCATACTTTTGATAACGCCAAAGTTCATAAGAAAGTTCATAGCTGGTCACATTATTAAAGGCCAATATCCTGCGGGCCCACTTCTACTCGACACCAAGAAA